ATTTCTTATCTAGGCCTAACTGCCATATTGATTTTTACTAAACTTGGTAGATATGTAGAACAGGACGCCTCAAGGTGACTGGAGAAATTTAACTCTAATTGGCAACTGGGTGGCGCTATAACAACAGAAAAATGCTTAAAAATAGCTAAAATGTGACCGATTGCTGTGGCTCCCCCTGTGGCCCAATGTTTGTTTTTTTTTCTTCTAATAAGTCATGGTATGGTATGCTGTACATAATCACGGAAACTGTCAGTGTGTCATTCTGTCAGTCAGTCATTCTGTCTGTCCCACGTTTTTCTACTCACTGACGTGGTCAATCTATGTGAAACTGCACATAGCCATTGAGGATTGGCATAGGTAGAAGGTGACAAAGCTACCAGTGGGTATGGACTAGTTTATTTTATATTTATCCTTTATTTGGCCAGGAAGGTCCCACTGAGATATACGCTCTCTTCTTCCAGAGAGTCCTGGTCAGTTAACTGTGATTTCAACAGACTTTATATTTTAATGTGAAGCAGGTCCTTACTGCATGTTGAAATACAGTAACTGAAATGCTGTCAAAACAATGATGATTTTGGACCTAGGTGTCCAAAAGTATTATATTTTGAATAAAATTCAACCCAGCCTTATCTTACACAATATAGACCAGCCAGTACTGAGTTTACAGATACAGATGTCTGTTACCTACATTTTAAAAAAGTGTCTATTTGCACCCAAGTACGAATGGTCACACTGCAGCTTTTCGGCTTTTTACACCAAACCCTACGACCCTATGACACATTATTATTGAGTCCACTGTGTGCTGTGATTGGCCAGTAATCGTCATGTTGACACGTCAATATCAGAAGCATTTAGGATTTGGGGAAAGAAGTCATGGTTAGGGGGAATACTAGCCCATCTAGAATATTCTCTGAGATTAAAGCAGTAAACGTACAAGAAAGAAAGCACAAATGTACAGCCAGAGAGTCAGTTTATGTCATATAAAGACTCACAGACCATGGAGGGAGTAAGATGTGGTGGATGAATGAGTCAAGTACAGGATTTCACACAGGGGACCGGGGTGTGAGTCAATGTTGGCCTGTTATTTTTAGACATAGTTGACTTGTTATTTTCAGATTTTAGGATGTTTAAAGCTGCTGAATGCACACCGTGAACATAAATGTAAGCAGAATAGCTGAATAGACCCGTTTGTGTCATAGTCGTCATATTTCAGTGTTGCTAAGACACCCAGGTGTAAATAGCATTATTGGCTACGGACACCTGGGTGCTAATAGCATTTGCCTTTAAAAAAAAATCAATACGGAGATCAGCTGATTGTAATTTTGTTTATGAATGCATAAATTTTTTTTTAAAGGAGTCTTGTTAAATTAAATTTGTCTTGCTAGAGAATTGTCACCTTGAATATGGACTGTATGGGACATTATGCAGTTGGGAAAAAAACTTGTCACTGCCCTCTAGTTAACAAACAATGTAATAGTGATGCTTTCTAAAATTCATAAAGCATTTCTGGGAAATTTCTGTACTGCAATTTATCGCTTGACATATTCAAAAATATGATATAACAGCAATAAGATAAAACAGGCTGATAAATCAGCCCCGGCCACATTACTAGAGTTCTACTACCTAGACACGAATATGTTTTCTGACCTGCAAACTACCAACACCACAGTTGCTGGGTTAGATTTGCTTTTTAAAAAAGATTTATGTTCTGCTGTTGCAGTACAGGAATGTGACAATGGCCATGCTGAGTCAATAACACAGTGATAATGAATACATCTTATCATAGATCTTAAACTCATACAGTGAATTTCATATGGGTCACACCATACACTTTTGTCTTCCCTCATCAGCTGGTGCATATGGCCGAGACGTGAGGAGCATGTGCAGCTGCATCTAATTAATAGTGTGAAAGTTTTTTGCCTAATAGAGCTTAAGCTGTGTTTATGCCGTCCCCATTGCCCGCAGTGCGAGCGAGCAGCGCACACAGCCTCCGCACCCTGAGGTGTCTGAACCCAGGGCTTCCACTCTAGAAAGTGGATACTCCAGCCAAGCTCCTTGCCAGTTCCTGGGTTTTGATATCCACCAATTTTAGCCTGCTGTCATCTGAAGTTGATGTTCATGTTTTTGCTGATAGGTAACAGGGCCTGCAGCAAGAGATGAAACTGGATACCTCAGATCCGGAGGACAGGGTTCTTTGGAATTACCTCTGCATGTCTCATCCCATGCCTACTTCGGATTACCGTTTCACTCCGTGATCGAGCCTTTCCCTTTTTTAGTAGACAGTGTCGTCCAAAATCTCGGCCGGAGGCAACTGCAGGGGGATCAGTTCACAGGAGAGCCACACATGGGTTATTAATCAAGGATGACTTCAAAGGTCTCAAAGTTTAATCTTTATTGCGAACTTTATGTTTATATGATTCCATTCTCACACTCTACACTCTTGGCATTTAGTTGCACAGCCACCACCAGGCGGACTGAGTTCCTGTCGTCTTTTCTCTGTATCAGTTTATGTGTGTAAGCCCTCTTCATGTTCAGTGTGCTGAGCCCCAACCGGAATTAATCTGCTACTATTTCGACTGCCTCTTAATCCTTTAAGACATTTAAAAGGCGGAAATGTCAAACATTCTCTGGTTCCACTTCCTCAAATGTCAGGATTTGCTGCTTTTTGTTGTTTAATATGAGTGTAAATAGAATAAGTTTGGGTTTAGAGTGTAGACTGGATAATGCAAGACATGTGAAGGGATTACTTTGGGGTTCTCGGGGGTTGTGTTGGCCTTTTCTTTTCTTTTTTTAACTAATATCTGACATTTATATCAATATAGAAGACTAAATGATTAATAAAAGAATACAGCTAAATTGATTGTTATGATAATAATAATTACTTGCTGCCTGAATGCCCAACATGCAGGTTTAGTTAATTGGTGACACTAGATTGGCTGTAGGTGTGAATGTGAGCGTGAATGGTTGTCTGTCTCTATGTGTCAGCCCTGTGACAGACTGGCGACCTAACCAAGGTGTACCCTGCCTCTTGCCCAGTGTCAGCTGGGCTCCAGCCCCTCTGTGCGACCCCTAACAGGATAGGTGGTTACGGAAAATGAATGAGTGAATGAGGATGCTGTGCGAATCCCCAAACCCCTGTGCTGCTTTGGGTCAGCACTTTGATGACTGCGTCCACGACACTGAGCAATAGAGAGGTGAAGTTCCTCCCCTTCTGGTTTCCCCCATGGGACCTTATTTCTGGAAAAATATGTAGTAGCCAACGACGAGAGACAAATATTTTGATCCCATTTAAGTTTTGTTATGAATTACATAAAAAGTATGATGTTTGTCAATTTAGAACAAAATTTTTAAGGCAAGAAAGTTGCAGTTTGTTGTAAGTTTGTGAAAGTAATATTTAGTTTAGTGTGAAACCGCTCAGTGAACTATACCTCGTCTGCTAGCTATCTTGCTAGCAAGCTATTGTTGTTGCATGAACAAGACTTAAAAAAAGAGAGACTCAGACATGGAGTTGCACATTTGAGGGTCTTTAAATCTCGAAAGAAAAACCAAAGATTGGGGCGCTGGTGGCTCAGTGGTAGAGCAGGCGCCCCATGTACAAGGCTGTTGCCATAGCAGCCCGGATTCGACTCTGGCCTGTGGCCCTTTGCTGCATGTCACTCCCTCTCTCTCTGCCCCCTTCACACTTGTCTGTCCTATACATTAAGGGTTAAAAAGCCCCAAAAAATCTTTAAAAAAAGAAAAAACGATTTGAAAGATTCGGTACATCATGCCAATTTATAGTGTGTCACAAACAAGCATTGTAGGTACTGTAGGTACTTTTTGAGTGTTATTTTTCTGCCATTCAGACACCCAGCTCAGAGAACAATTGATTCTCCCAATTTGGCCACAGTCATGTCAGAATAACAACAACAGTTTAAGCCAGGTCATCATCTACACAATACTATCTAGCCAGGTAACTTGGCTATGTTCCACATAGCAATGTAATGTTATCTCACTACCCATCGACGTCTGGTCTTGTCATCGGCCAGGAGTCGAAAGAACAATCAAGACCCGTTGCTCATGTGAAAATATCCTGGAATTAACATACAGGCATTGGAGCTTTAGCAAGAGAGAAAGGTATGACGTCACTTACGCAACTTGTGCAGTCACTATAATTATGTATTTTCACAGTCTTAAGCTTCAGGATGCGGCAGTAACTCAGTCTATAGGGACTTGGGTTGGGTTCAAGTCCCTGTTTGTGGATGACATGCAGCAAAGGGCTGCTGGTTGGAATCAAACCCATAATCGCTGTGGTGAAGACATAACCTTTAGTCATGGGATGGGACACACACTACGCAGTGAGCTTCTTGGCGCCTAGCTGTGACTTTATATCCTTGCGATATTATGTTTCGAATTGACAAACATCATATGTGTAATTTAGGCGTAATTTAAATGGGATCAAAAATTGTTTGTCTCTTCCCACCAACTACCCTAAGGTGTTATTTCTACTGGGGATGGTGGGGACATGTTCTCCTCCTTTCAAAATCCTTTTTGTGCCCCCCCCCCCTTTAAAAAATGCATTTTTTTAACCACAAATATCATGTGTAATACACTTCTGTTTGGCCAGCCGTCAGACTTTGGCTGAGGAGTATATTTAGTACTGTTCTGGCGGAATTAAGTATAATGACCGACTTAATTAAGTTACGTCCTTGTGGATACCGTACACATTGTTTATAAAATAAGGCCTCGTGATGGTTTACTGGGAGGAGAAGAACTTCACCTCTTTATAGTCAAAATCATCCTCCATCTGCTTTAATCCGTCAGTGTTTCACTTACACCACCCTTCCTTAAGTAAAAAAGCAACCTAGTGATGTTGGTGACTTTTACACCAGCTCAGAAGGCTGATTTCTGCTGACATGTCTCTGCCATTACTGTCACACACAGTAACTCCTCTTCTCCAGATAGATGAAATGGATTTCCATCCTCCACTATACATCCTGACTGGTTTATTTTCTTGGCAGGCTGCTGAGGACTCTACAGCCAAATCATCAAAAAACATTCTGCCTGTACAAATAATTCCATCTGAAGTAAGTGCAGGTTTTCCTTTTTCTGATTATTTTCTTTATAGGAAGAACCGTATTTACACTGGCACTTACAAGGCCTCACTTGTTCAGAAGCTTGGAGGTTTACTCGGCATTAATTCAAACATTTTCTTTTTTTGTACCTCACCTGCCATGTCTGTACATGTTACAGTGAGCTCTACAACGTAAACAGACTGCTAAACTGATATTAGGTCAGGCCGAGGCTGCTGCTGACCATCTGGACTGCAGGTTGTTGCCATGTGTCTGATAGCATTTCTCAATACATAACTTCCGTGAAATCCGCTTACTTGTGCCTGCTCATTAATAAATCTTTCATTACGTCCTCGTGATCTCAAACATGGCCAATTCAAAGCACGAGGGCAGATTTCCCTCCATGTTTTTCCTTAACTTTATAATTAACTACTATTTATTTACTCTCATGTGTTCATTATTTTTGGTTGTTTTCCTATTGTGTATCTCCCTTAAAATTCACACATGACAATTTGTTTAGAGCGCAGAGGACTCCTCACAGAGCTCCTAATGCAGCCACTGTTAACTGGTTTCTGGCTGATGACAGCACATGCTGAGTTGAGGTGATTATGGGGGGTACTATTTCCTTCATAGTTATTTATATATTACCTTTCCACATCCACAACCTATTTTCATTCAACAGTTATCTTCCTTAAGTCCCTCACATTTCAATCAGCATACAAAGAAGAGAAATTAAAAGTCATGAGAGCTCAAAATGCAGCCTCAGCCCTAGTGTTTAATATTGCATTATCAACCCATATTTCTCTTTCTCTCTGCTTCAACTACTGTAAACACAGCACAATAAACCAGACCTATAGATTCACATTAAGAATTTATACCCATGTTTGTGTCTGTATAGATGCTGTATTTTCAGCTTCCACCAGAGCTGTAATTGAATCCAGCTCAAAGAGCAACCCTCTGCTGTGGAACCTTAGAGACTCCTATAAATAAAACAGGCAACACTCCTTCAACACTTGCCTATATGGCACATGGAATGATTAGCTCATGGCAAGAGCCCTCTGATCTTACAGTGTGTAGCCACAACTATTTTCTGTCAGCTATGTGCATTGCTTAACTCATAGAGTGTGTCAAGAATGTGGTCTCTGAAGAATTCACAAAATTTAGTTAGCCTATACCGCATTGGCTTTACATACATTTGTTAATGAACGTTACTGTATGATGTTGTTGTAACAGGATGATTTGTAAAGAAAACACCTGTATGTGAAGGGAATATGAGGGTAGACCAATATGGACGGTAGCGCAAATTACTATAAAATGCGAGTTCAGCTCAACCTATGTGGGGGTGTACTTAAAAGTCTAGTGTTTAAAATTTATGGGAATTTTGTGGCATCTACCCACAAGAACTGCAGACTGCAACCAGCCATAGCTTCTCCCGCTCAAATTTCCTTCATTGTTTGAGAGGTTTTTACTGGAAGCTGAATTATCTGTGGAGATCAAAACAAAGGAACACAATGACTTAAATAGGTAAAAACAAATCCGTTTCACGTTTAAAAAATCAGTGATTTTCTAACATTGATTGTCACAGAGGGGCAGCTAACTACAGTGGCTGACGCAAAAACACGATTGGCCCTATTTAGTGGCATCTAATGGTGAGGATTTCAGATTGCAACCAGCTGAAATTTCTAGTGTGTGCCAAGCATGAACTTAGGCACACACTGGAACTTAGGATTCCTTCAGTGTTAATTGCTCAGTAGGTTTTTACCAGGAGCCAAATTATGTGCAGAGGTCTCTTCCTCTCTTAACAAATGGACCAGGTGATTTAAACTAGTAAAAACTCTGACTAATGAAAAAAATCAGTGTTTTTCCGTCTATCGCAGAGGGGCTACTAGCTACAAAGGGTGATACAAAAACGTGAATGTGCGAATGGCCAAATCTAGAGCCAGTGCTTGGTTTGTCTGTTCTGGGTTTCTGTAGAAACATGGCGGTGCAACATAATTATCTCCCTGGAAGAGGACCCGCTCCCTATGTAGATATAAACGGCTCATTGTAAGGTAACAAAAACATAACAATTCTTATTTTTAGGTGATTATACTCTAAGTAAAACATACGTATTCTGCCAATATATTCCTCTAAATCAGTGGTTCCCAACTGGTCCAGCCACGGGGTCTGGATTTCTCCTTACTCATTAGTTCAAGATCCACACAGTTTAATACATTCAGCGTCATACTTGCGTCTGCCCATGTCGTTGAGCTATTTTGCTGTCTCTGTCAAGTAGCTGTCCATTAGTCACTCACTCTACAGCAGGAAATGGCACTTCAAAGTGAAAGCTTTGTGCCGGAAATTCACTGTACTCAAAAATAATGTGGGTTTTTTACAAACTTGACACGTTTGCGAACCATTTAGGATGGAAACACAACCCACTTTTGGACTGGGACGCACCAGCTGGGAACCACTGCCCTAAATCTTGCAAGTTAGAAAATGATTATCTAATCAAACTAAATCAAATATATTTACTCTACTTTGCATTATATTCTGGTTAAATGGAGCTTCATAGAGTGTGCCAATAAACCCGGAACTCTGTTAGCGCTTTTAGCACTTCGGTTCTCTCGTCTAAAAGTCAGTACGTTTTTTGAATGGGATTTTGGTAAAATGCCTCAAATAAGGTCTGTGGTTAACAAAAGCTTAAGCGAGTTTCAGGTTTTGTTCTACAACATAAAACACGTCAGTAAATACCCTACTTGTGAATTTTGAAGCTTTTACGTGTCGTAAAAAAGGTGGTTGCTAACAAGTTGCTCAATACGACTACAAACCCTGTCAGGGACATTAAACGGCATCACCTCCGAACAGGCGAGAGCGCTGGCAGTCCGCCATTACAGCTTCTTATTTAGCTTAAACAGTCCGATTTCCCCATTATACAATGTTTTTAAAATAAAGCAGCCGAAATCAGTTGAAAGCTTAGTGGCGGTGACATCAAGAGTCATGCAACAGTAGAGTAGTCATGTAGTCCGTTAAAGCCTAACGTTAGCTTTTTACTTCTGGCGATCGCATTTAAGCTTCAAATGCGGTCTTAAAAGTGTTCATATGTTAAGATTATCTTGCTGAACAAAACCTGTAAGTATCATAAACTTGTGTTAGCCACAGATCTTATTTTCTGACATAATCCAAAACGCAATGCAAAAATCACATTCACTTTCTCTTCCAGGAACCAGCGCGATGCTAAACTTCTGGGTTTTGATGTCAGCCCTGGCACACTCTATTGATGCAGATAAACTCGTTAGGATTTTTACTGTATTTTTAAAACTTAACTATAACACTGGATTGCAGTGTAATTTGGAATATACCACTTAAATGACCCACTTCCTTTTAGTTTTAAATTCTGTTCAGCAATATTGGATTACTAGGAGGCAGACATGACATATACATTAGCACTGGCTTAGCTGTCACGGCTAACCTGCTAGCAAACTATGCCTACTTTAGCTTAAACCCTCAGCAGACACATAGTAACATTGGCATATATGTAATTGTAGTCATATTTTTGGCCACCAGATGAATATTGTCCAGTATTCACTTACCTCCTAACTATGTATTTGCTTCCAACAGCCACTGAAAATGTAGAGTAGGCTACGTGAGTCTGAAGAACCAAAACAAGGAGCTAAAGTGGCTTAACATTGGCTATTATTTGTATCCTTTCCAGTTTGAATTGTGTGAAACAGCGCCCCTCTGGGTTGCAATGCGGTGAACGATGGTATTGCACCTCAATAGATACCCAGAGGCCAGGTGAAGGTGGCAGTTTGCCAACCGCTATTAATCAACAGAAGAAGAACGAGAAGGTGGCGTCGGTTGATTAGCTTAATTACTGCGTTAACTTAATGTTACAGAGAGAAACGTATCTTTACTACTCTGTTTATGGTGGGCTCATATCAAGCTAAGGTACTGTGGCTTAAAAACTAGAGAAACCACTGGTAGTTCACTAACATTAGCAGGTTAATTCAAATTGACCAGTTAGCTAGTTTTCCATTAGTTAGCTAACATTAACTAACCGTTGCTAACCATTAGCGCTAACCTAGCACTGCAAAAAACAACTGTCTGAGAGTAGGAAAGAGGCCTAGCTACATCCAAACTGGAGCTGCGGAAAGAGGATGAAGTTGGCAGACATTTAAGAGTTGGATATTGTCAGTGGAATTGTCTGTGATGGAGGAGCTTAAGCCCTGTGGGAATATGAAGTGATCACTTTGCCACCATGTCTTGGACAGCGGTCCTCTTCAGGTAGGTGAGGCAAACACTCCCTGAGATAGTATTTGTTGTCCCAAGAGTGGTATTGGTTTATAATGAGTTCTGAGTTTTGCTGGCTCTGGCATTTTTATATGCCTGCCATCACGGATATAAAGAGTATGTTTATTTCTCTCTCCCTCTCTCTCTCTCTCTCTCTCTCTCTCTCTCTCAATTTAATTAAATTCAGTGAATTCAGAACCAATTAACAAATAAAAAATCATAGAAATACATTTTAAAGACAAAAAAACATTAACTGAAGGAGTTAATAAAAAGGCAGAGTGTGATCTATGAGGAGATTAACTGTTATGTTGTTGTGTTGGTTGTCTCTGAGGCTGTGACATGCACTGACATATCTTGCTCCATCTATGGTGCTGACACTATTTCTCCAAGTATATGTTGCATTTTAGTCAGAGAGGGTATCAAAATCTTGAAGTTTACATTTAATTTTTGTAAAGAACTTTGTTCTGATGTCTTAAATGTGCTCTATTGTAGCAGGAAATGTTGCTTTGTCTCCACCTGTCTCTGTGGACTGAGCTGACACAGCCTGTCTTCTCTAGGCAGCCAGGCCTGCCTGTGTCTGCCAGTCTCTATGGCCAGGTTGTAATCACTGAGTCTGTAAAACCATCTTTCCAACAGTTAAATACTTCTTTAAGCACTAGCCTTGAAAGAGTCTCGATTGTACACTTTCTTTCTAATATCTAATAGTGCATAATAATGATGGAGAAGAAAGTGTAGTGACTGTCATCGTAATAAATTAAGATCTGTCTGGAAAGACTGTTTCATGTCGTAGATGCACTGTGACGAGGCCAAGAAGTTTTAAGTGACAAGGTTATTGAATTACATTGTAGCAGCATCTCCAGCGTAGATGGCCCTTCAGCCATTATAATAATTGTTTAATTGTGTGCTTAGCTAGATTTCCCTGATTCAAAGGTATTGCTGGCAAACACTGTATCAATTTAATATAAACTCTCTGGAGAGACATGCTGACTCGAGAAACTGAGGATGTGCGGGCCCAAAGACTTTTTGGGAATATTTTGTGTCAGATAGTTTGATGCAGACATGAGGATGCTTTATCACCAGCAGACATTAGAGATATATAATAGAAAATTACTCTGCCACCACCTTTAATTTCCCTACACATGAATCAGAACAAGTGTAATGCAAAATTTAAAGTCAGATGATGACCCAGAGGTATGAGTTTCTGCAAGGTGAATTGTTTTATTTTCACTGTTGTAAAAGATGCACTGGAACATATATCACACATCAGTTCATTACCAGTGGATCTGTCACAAAGGAAATAAAAGCAGAAGTATGGAGAGGTAACAAGTGAAGGGGAATCACCCTAGAAAAATCACATATTTATTGCTTTAATATCACCTGATTATCAAGCAGCTGGAGCACACCGCTGATTGATTTTCTCTGACAAGAAGGAAATTCCGCATGATGAGCGCCACAGGATCACAGGCAGTGAAGGAAAGGCGGGCAGCAGGGAGGGCAAAGTTCATAATGAATTAACTTTGACATCTTAGGGTTAGAAAATCACAGCACTGTAACCAGTCACAGCTGAGCTTTGTCATTTATGTATTGTAAATCAATTAAGGCTGCAGCTAGTTTCTAGTCCAAGGTGAAGTCTTAAAATATCATGTTTTGTCCAACCAAGCAATTAACAAAAAGGTATTCCATTTACTGTCATGAAAGACCCAAGAAAACCAGAAAATCGTGAAGCTTGAGAAGCTGAAACTAGTAGGGTTTTTTTTGTTGTGATTTTTGCTTTACTCAAATACTCAAGTGATTTATTCCTTACAAAAATTGTTGTCCATCAATTTTTTTGTCAATGGACTTAATGACTTAAGGTTTCAGCTCTAAAATAAATGAAAGTAAAACATTTATTATCTTAGTTCTGACAAAAACAGCGCTGTATGTGCAACAAATCTGCAACAACAATTGCATCAAACACAGACCTTTTTTTGGATTGACAAACATGGCTCTGCTAACAAGCACCTGTTTCTGTGAGGCGATGGCGTCCCCTAGCAACTCCCTGGTGGCCTCGTCACATTGAGGCACTCCAGTAGAGCTCAGTTAGTGAAAAGACAGAAAATTGCTTTTCAGCTGTCAGTTAATCATTTGAGTAATTTTTTTCTGACAAAAATACAGAGCATTATGTGTGTTTATATAATGTGATAGTAAAAATGAGTATCTTTTGGTTTTGAACAGTTAGTTGAACAAAACAATGAGTAATTGTGATAAACATTTGTTCACTGTTTCCGGAATTTTATGAGATGAGATGTTAAATTTAGACCTGCAGACAATGGGGTGCACCTCTGCAAACCGCTCACCTCAACCAGGTAAACTTCTTTTACCTGCCCTGATGGTGATGGAAAAACACATGCAGCAAAAATTACAGGAGACTTAAGCTGTGGATTGGCCTGCTGCTATTAAATGTCATTACTCAAGACGAGCCATCATCACATCACCTTCAAGTGGGCAGCCCTGTTGTGCTGGGCTGATGACCCAAACCAAACCAAACCAAGCCAAGCCAGCCCATGACTGCCAAAAAAAGCGGTATAATGGTTAGCATGGCTGCTAATGGTTGCTATTGTTAGAGGATGATGAGCATTAACAGATAAGAATTCTCAATCAGAGCACAATATTGACATGTGTTAAAAAAAAAAAAAAAAAGCAAAGAATAGTTTGTTGATAATAAGCTGATTTTTAATGTTGGACAGTGTTTCAAAAAGAGCAGGCAACTGAAAACTTGTTGAAATGTATAGCAAGGGTGCATTTCACAGAGCAGTTTATGAGATTATTTGTGAACAGGCAGTTATGAGACAAATATTTGCATTGAATGTTTATGGATAATCTTGTTTTGTTAAGAGGTTGTAGAGCACTCTCTACACTCTGAGGTTTGTTCAGTAGGTTTTTTTGAAGCATCCAAGCACGTGTTCTTTATTGCTTCACCATATCCAACATGCTGATAGGCTACAGATGACGGTCTGTACGAGTCAGGCCAGCTGCCCTTGCTGCACGATAAAGAGAAGGCCAAAAGTCAGGGGGCGAGCTGACAGAGGGAGGGGCAGGTTGTCTCCTATTACTGAACTCAGCCAGACTTGTTATTCCCTTTCTCAGTCCCTTTGCTTTCTGTATGACAACACCTGCTGCATGGCCTTCTGCTTGCTCCTCTCCCACTCCAGCCTTTAGGTCTATCACTGCCTGAGAGGAAAGTGTGAAGTCAGGTGTGTGCTTTGATCTGACTTGTGTGTGTGTGTGCTGTTAGTGAGCAAAGAATGGCACGCTGAAGCTGGTGGTGTAACTGTTGATCCACCCAGGGGACATCCAACAGCTCCTGGGAGATTAAGCTAATTTCTAAAGACGCAGTCATCCCTAAAACACTTAGCGTTGGTGATGTGTCCTCTATTTGTGTTTTTCTTTGTCATGTTTGATGGTGTAGCATCTGAGTAACCCTGTCAACATCTGACTGGATGGTGTTAGGTCACGTTCAGTGCAGCCACAATGACGCGTGATAGCAGATTAAGTACTAAACTAAACTGAAGCTGCAGTTAAAAAAAAAAAAAAAGCAACATGTATTTATAACAGCGCAGCCCAGAGACAATATAACTGTATTTATAAGAAATATCTTTTAACACATGGATGCCTCCTGCTCCTTGATGGCATCCAGTCCAGGTAGTTTTATAATCAAAATACATCAGACCAATTCAGTATCCACATTTGTAGTAGCTATTTAGTAATGTGAAAAATACATACAACTTGAATAATACAACGACACCATTGTAATCACACTACTAGCGATTTGAATCTTGACATTCTCACGAGCATCAGATTTTGGCCTCTCAGCTGTTGAAATGTCACCTTTGACAGCTCTATTAAATTGTATGGAGTCTGAGAGGCTGCAGCAGCATACCCTGCGGTTTATCATTACTAGTTATGTAGTGTAATACTAGGGGTTCATACAGCTCATATTTAATGGCCGTTCTCTGCCAAGGTAACAAAACCTACTGATGGATTTGTCGCTGCTTGGAAGAATAACCACCTTGCGAAAGTTTGTCAAGTGGGTATTCGTGTGTTTTTTGGAGCTTGTTTTCTCTCAGACTTTCAAATATGACTAAACACTGCAACAAGGAGGGGTACAGCTGTGTTTTTAAATGTACTGTTGGCATGAAATGGAGGTGAAGGAAACAGAGTAGGGATATGTCAGTAGACCCACATCTTTATTACAGTAAATTAGCACAGCGTCAGATAGACCTGCTATCCTGTCCGGTAGAGAAAATGTCCAGGATTTTGTCTTGGTGTCACTTATGTAGAAACAAATGTACTCAAACACGTGAGAAACAGACACGGCAGAACCTCACATACTTTGTTAATATAAGGACAACACAAAGGGAAAAAGACAAGCCATACCACTAAAACCATTCCAGCATTGTTGTCTTTAAAGATGCAAACATTTGGACAGTTCACTGTATTCCTGCCATTGTGAGAAAAAGACAAGGTCTGTTTCTTGCTGTAACAAGAACATTGCCATTCAAGACACTGTTCTTTTACATCATAATTTATTTCATATCAACAATATTTTTTTCTCATATTGTGTTATTAAGCTACAATCATCATAGAAGATTAGAAACATTTCTTAAGAAAGATGTGTAGAAATAGAGGAAATGATCCAGTGACAAAGCTGGGGCTCAAGACACCAAAAATACTACATAAAATGCTTCATCAAGACTTTTGCTAGCATGTAAAACACAAGATAAAAAAAATCTAACTTACAAAAACATCTGGAGCAATGAAGAGAATCAAAGCAATGAGACTTAGCTGTAGTAATGGGATAATTACACAATATCCCTAAAAAGGCATCAGATTCAAATATAAAAATTCACTGCTGCTTTTTGAGAAAATATCATTGTAGTCAAATGTAAAAAAAATAAAAAAAAAAAATAAATAAAAAAAAAATTACATTTATACCTTAAATGTGGAAGGAGAAATCTGGAAGTAATCACAAACAACATCTGTCTTATTGTTCACATAAGCAGTATATAAAGAGTTAATATAAAAAGTGTCCCTAAAGTCACCAACTCATTGCTCAGTCAGCTGTATTTAAAAGCTGTCTGTGGTGACGCTGATGACCTGCGGCTGCACTCTGTTCCTGTTACAGCTGAAGAGCCAGGCTGCCCTCCTGTGGCGGTAGCGCTTTGACAGCAGCACATAGAGCACAGGGTTGATACAGGGGTGCAGGTACTGCAGCACAGTACAGGTGAAGTAAAACATCTCCCAAGCCTGTCCTTGGCGGTATAGCTCCAGGTACACACACAACTCCAGCACATAACCAGGCAGCCAGCACACTGAGAAGGTAGCAGCAGCCAAGAACACCATGACAGAGGCACGGCGGGTGTTCCTGGCACTGGACACCGACATTACAGGACTCTTGTGGAGAAAAAGAGCCAGCCGGACATAATTGAAGGCGATGACTAGCATTGGAACAAAGTAGTAAAGTACAAACTGGCTCAGGACCACTTGGTAGTGGTGCTCATGAATGGTTGGAAGGCAGAAGGTGAAGTTAGCCGGGCTCGGGCCCAGGCTGTCTTTGGTGGCAAACATACGCAGCGGCAGGCTGATGAAGAAGCTGAGGGCCCAGACCAGAACAAACATGAAGATGACCAGGTCCATAGTGGGTGGCTGGTACGGATTAGTGATAATCATGGCCCGAGTCACAGACACGGCACACAGTGAGTAGGTGCTGGCGGCCAGGCTGAAGGCCAGCAGGAACTGGTAGACCTTGCAGGAAATGTTACCCAGAGGCCAGGAGTGGCTGACGGAGGAGTGCAGGGTGAAGGGGATAAGCAGGAGGGTGAGGAAGTCGGCCAGAGTCATACTGAGTAGGAGGATGTCGAGGCGGTTCTTACGCAGCGTGTTGTACTTTGCAAACAGAGAAAAGACCAGCAGGTTGGCACAGAGCCCGATTCCCAGGATCACTCCACAGGTACAGGCAAAGATCAGCACATAGGTATTGGGAACAGCCATGTTTTCACCTTGAGAAAAAAAAAATCATTGGACGTTTAGGAATAGCTGATGAAAGAAAAATGTAATGCCTGTACACATACCCCATACTGCAAAAGTTTGATTGAGACATTTTGATTGTGCTTTGGTCTTTGTAATGTTAAAATAGTGAATTGACAAAATGATCAGCATTTTTTTAATAATATCTCAAAGGTCCAGTGTGTAGGATTTAGGGATATAAATTGTGTGTTGTTTGTTACCCTTAGAATGATCTGTAATATCTACACAGTGAGTGGGTCCTTGTCTACAGAGATCCTCATGTTGTACCAATGCCATGTTTCTATAGTAGCCCAGATTGGATAAACCAAACACTGGCTTGAGGCAGGGGTCTTTCATGTTTACACATCGGCCAATGTAGTTAGCGGCCTCTCTGTGATGAGCGGCATCAGAAAATCACATGAAACTGCTTCCCTAGTTATTAGACAAAAAAGATGAGCAAAGATTTGCAGGTAATAGGTTAGAGGACTGTGTCTGACATGCCAAACAGCGTTGAAGAAACACTGATTTGTAACGTGAGCCTGCTTTATTTCTGGTTAATATTGATTTAAATCACCGGGTATGTTTGTTTTTTAGAGAAGGTGACCTCTTCTGATAATTTGGCTTACAGTAAAAACCTCCTGAACAACTGGATCAGAAATAAGGTGCACACACATTAAGTCTTAGAGGAAATAGGTGAGCACACATTTGCAGATTCTGGGCAAGTTGGCCTCCTGCGACATGACAACAGGATAGGCGAAACACTGATTTGTAGCGTAAAACCTGCTAAAAATCTCCCGAACAATGAACACTGAAGAAGTCTTAACTGGGAGAAGTTTCAGCTGGTTGTAATGCAATACTTACTTTTACTTTTCTCACTTTTCCAGCAAACTTCTAAAATAAAAAAGCTTTTCAAGATGTAATACTTTTTTTGTCATATATGACTGCACACTTAACATTTACACAAAAAAGACATTTAAATGTGTCTCATGGGGCTTTGGGGAAAAAAGACATAAGGAGCAGGGTTTTAATTACTACTCTCTGATATTTTGTAGGCAAAACAATTGCTTCATTGAGAAATTAAATTTTGATAGAGTATTAGATAATGAAAGTCTTATTCATTAGTGAAAGTCCTATTTATGTTATTCCTAGTGAAAGAGAAAAGGTACGGTTAATCAGTTAGAATCTGAAAAGGCTTTTGTAGACCAGTGTGGGAAAGTAACTAAGTACATTTACTCAGGTACTTCCTTGAGTATTTTCATTTTATGCAACTTTATACTTAACTGTATCTCAAAGGGAAATATTGTACGTTTTACTCCACTGCATTTATTAACTAACTTACCTTGTAGATTCAGATTAATAATTCAAAATATATTTAACAAATGAATTATGATTCATTATTATTGGTTAAAATAAGACTTTGTTGATCCTCAGGGGAAAATTCACAAGCTAGCCAACAGTATATAAAGTAAATAAAACTAGCACCACCTTTACCAGCTGCAACATTAAAGTGATGGCCACATTAATGGATCATGCATTTGTTAAGCATTATGACTACTTTTACTTTTTTTCCTTCAAGTAAACTGTATTTTAGTTCTAATAATTTTGTACTTTTACTTAAATGAAAATTAACATCAGAATGTTTACTTGTAACAGTAAGATTACACTGTGGTATTGCTACTTTTACTTCACCAAAACATACAGATGATGTAATACCACCAATGTGGTCGTCTGATAAGATACAAAATATCTTTTAAGTAACATTTAGACTTTTAACTGCTGTATATTTCACCTTATAGTGCGATTACCTGGAGCAGGTGTTTGTCTGATCAGAGGTCATCACATTTTAAAATGTTGTCACAATTATCCATCATTTAGACGCACTCACCATAGTCGTTCCTCAAAGCAGTGATTTCAGGCTCATGTTTGTGAGTGAGCTATCCTCATATTGTAAACTTGTATTTCACCGTGTCCATCCTGTAAAACTGGACTGATGGAGGGAGAGGTGGCAGCCTCTCAGCACTCATTACAAAGTGTGATAGCTAAATGTGGTGGGAAGAAAGGCAAACATCACTTGGGCCAAATTGATTCTGGTTGATTTGGTTTAAAGAGAAACAGCCTCAGACCAGCTGCTCAGGGAACAGTAATGTATAATATATACCTGTTTTGTGATTCTTCTTAGATGATGTAAGTGTATCTTTAGTCTTTTTAGTTGCAGTCAATTTTAGTATCAGCTATGCTTGGCTTTGTGAAACTTTTTTTGAATCTATTGGTCTATTGGAAGTATAAAAACACCTCATTAACTGAGACTATGTTGCCGTTTGTAAAAACTTTTATTGACCTTTCCTGACCTGTTAAAACCTCTCTGTTTTGGGGGTTTATATTCATACAGTGTAAATTATATTTAAAAATCAGCCCCCTCCACGGAACAGGAGACCAGTCCATTGATTACACTCTCTGTTCCTCCCCTTCTCTGGAGATATTAATGTCTCTCTCCATTGTTTGATTGATTTCTTCGGTGTGAGCTGCAGGCTCCTGACGGCGGCTTTATCAGGCTTTCCACAGCGTTTATGACTCTGTGTCAGCTAATGGCCTTCGGTGTACACTGCTGCTCTTAGCACAGGATATAGCTGATGCTGATGCATTTGCAAACCCCTCCATTACCAGTGTCCGTGCCGTTCAGTCAGCGGCTGTTAAAAATGCCACATGTTCTCAAGTGGGACATTAACAGCTTTACTGTGTTCTGTCCATGCCCAAAAGTCAACAAAAACATTTATGTTTGACACCTTTTATGGCCTAGTAAATTTTTCAGATCTGTTTTGACACAAATCTTGCACTACTTATTTCTTTTCTAGCAAGGTTAAAGGTCAGGATGAAACATACCAACCAGCAACTCGAAGTCTAAAAGGGATTCAATGATTTGCTCAGAGACAGAGCTCAGGCCCATGGTCATTACAGCACCCTGTTGCCTTCTTTCTACCTTTATCTATGTTTAGCTGCTGATTCATCATGAAGAAGCAGGTAGTGGGTATACAGGTTTACTCCCTATCAACTTTAGATTTTAGGGAAATGGGTAACTGACCATGCTGCAGATTAGTCTGCTTTGCAGTCATAGGCTTGATATCATTTTACATACCATAAAGTTGAAATAGTTGGTCGACTAATTAGTTAGTTGCATAGGGCGGCTCAGGAAGTAGAGTTAGTCGTCCAGTAATCCTAAGATCGACGATTTGATTAACGGTTCCTTCAGTCCACATGCTGAAGTATCCTTAGGCAAGATACTAAGTGCCAAATTGCTCCCAATGGCTGTGCCATCACTGTGTGAATGCATGTAAATGTTTAACTGATGAGCAGCTGGCACTTTGTTTGGTAGCCTCGGCCACCAGTGTATGAATGTGTGTGTATATGGGTGAATGTGGCACGTAGTGTGAAACACTTTGAGTGGTCGGAAGACTAGAACGGCACTATACAAATGCAAGTCCATTCACCATTTAACAGGAAATTAACTGTCAACTACTTTGATAATCTTTTTTCAGTTGAATTTTTTAACCACTTTTTAAGTTAAAATTATAAACCTGATTCCAGATTCTCAAATGTGAAGCTGCTTTTCTAATTTAATTTAATTTAATTTAATTTAATTTAGTGTTTAGTTTTGCAGGGACAGCGCACACTATAAAGTAATCACATCAGAGTAGCTAATTTGTATCTCCTTCTTTGTCTTATATGATTGAATACTCAATATATTTGGTTGTGGACTGAATAAAACAAGCTATTTGAAAAGGTAACCTTGAGCTCTATCAAATTGTCATAGACGGGTTTGATTTTCTGTTATAGCATAGACAAAACGATTAAAATGTCTTGTCCAACTGTTAGAAGTAAAATAGGAAGCTGACTCTGTGGCAGATTAATCTGATTTGCAGTCGATCTATTTATTGTATCTTACTCTGAATAACAAAACTAACATTCAGTGTTTCATCAAAAACAGTTTTTTTGGCTCAAGAAGTCCAGAGGTGCTTATTTCCACCTGATGCAACTAACACTTAAGGTACACATATATGCAGTCATGGGACAGGGTAGAGTTTCTGACTTGTCGTTAGGGCTACAATTAACCAATTATTTTAATTATCAAATCATTTACAGGTTATTATTCTCATTTACTTGTTTGCTTTATAAATGTTAGAAAATAGTGAAAATGCCCATCATAATTTTTCAAAGCCCCACACTGACAACCACAAATATATCAGAATCCAAATATATTCAAATTTAGATCACAAAAGACAGTTAAAAGCAGCAAATTGAGATAATGTTTAGCATTTGCGCTCAATGTCAAAAATCACTTAAAGGATCAACCGATACTTAGAGTAGTTGCTGATGGATTTTCTGTCAATCAACTTATCACTTTAGCTCTGCCTGTCATAAATGATAAGTTTCATATTTGAGCCATAGGCTACAGGCCACAGGCTGGTGAACAAAGACACCATGATTCAAAAGTATTTCTAATGGCTACACTTTTAATGTTTGATTAACTGGAAACATGTACAGTATGCCCTCAGTGCAAGTGAAGAACATTAAATGACTCTGACAGCCCCTGACTCGGGCTTGTTCTATAAAAATAAACTATAATGTGAAATGGTTAGAGTGGGTTTGATGAAGCATCCAATAAGTTACAAGTCCACAAGGGATCTAAGGTGGGAAAGGAAAGCAGGACCATCAGAAAGAAACATCAAAATAAAACGCAACCACAAAAGAACATGTACAGGATATAACTAAAGTGCATTATGGAATTTAGTCAGCAGCACTGTGATACATTCACAAAATAAATACACACTCTCAAAGTGAAATAAATTATGGCAGAACAGTTTGAACAGATGTATGCAGTGAACAGCTTGTATGTAACTGTAAGCTCACGATAACAAAAGTAGACCACTTAGTATCCCAATTTTGTGAAGTTATATTACAGTCAGGCAATAAATAGTTCCTCCTATGAT